TACATTTTACAGTGGCACTGGACAACCACTTATAAATTAGGTTGTCATGAATGCAAAAGTGGTTGTTGAAAAACATGTAAAGTACAGATTAACAGCTACAGAATATAAAAACATTGAGAGCTTTTCCCCTTGTTTTACAATATTTTATCAGTAATCTCACAAATTTAAGATATATAGAAGTCAGGCAATCGTTCACTAATTGCTTATTTGCACAGTACTGTACTTAGTTTTTTGCTGTGATCTTACCTCTCTGCTGTAGTTGTTCGAGGACATTCAGTTCAAATTTGAGAGAGCCCACAAGGTCAACATTCTCCTGAAGTTGTTCAGACAGTTGCTGATTCTGTGCTTTTAACCTGAAAAAATATTGAAAGTGACAATGAAATGCAGGCTGCATATGATGTTGGTGTCGACTAAAGAACAAGTCACATTCTACTGTGGATGCTGGCAGGGATCCAGATGGATTCAATGTTGTGAATTTATTTTGAATATATTATTGATTCTGTTAATGTAAGTACAAGAACAACAATTTACCAAGAATGTTTTTTTTTAAATGATAGACCTTCATAAGGCATCGCACCTGACATCTGATGATGCTCTATAATCAAAAACATTTGTGCCTTTCCACATTAAAACCTGGAAAATTAAGTGCTGTATTTCAAAGTTGTATTTTATGTATCTCTACATGTTTTCTTCCAAATTATAAAAATACCCTTTTAATATAAAGGTATCTAAAAAAGGATTATTAAAACTAAGAAAACTAAGGTTTTTGTTTTTTTTAAAGCTAAAAATAACTTCACTTCTTAAACTTCCTTGACTAGTTTATAAAGCATTATCCTATCCAGTAATTGGTTAGTGTGCTTGCTGTTCGATCTTAAAATATGATGGTGGTTATTGTATTGGATAGGTATGTGATGGTGTGCCATTCTCCTACTCTTTAATGGGGTAACCCTGTTGGTATATAACATACCTATCATACTTATAATTCTTACTTTTGTAAATGTCTCTTGTTCTTTTTGAGTTCTTCAACAAGTTCCTGGAATTTTAAGTCTTTCTCATGTAAACGTTCTTTGAGTAACTTGTTCTCTTCAGTCAGCTCCAAGTTGCTTTGATAAATGATTACACTGGTGTCTGAAAAATTAATCATAAAACAAACATTATGTTAATATTCTTATCTTTAATTATTCTTATCTTTTCTCGTCTAGGCAGTGTACTCGATCAAATAAATTATCTCTCTACATATTACCTATTGTACTGTTATTATCTCCAATTACATGCAATCAACCTTACCTCCTCCCCCATTGCTCAACTCTGCCAGCTTAGCTTCAAGTTGTTCTTGCAACCTGTCATTCACATTAATCGACTCCTCAAGACGCTTACGCAAAGCTCTGATTTCTTCAAGATGTTCTTTAAGGATTGCACTATCACTGCTGCCAGAGACCTTTGGAGAATCCGCAAGTAGATGTTTATACAGATCCAGTTCTGACTTAAGAGATTCCACTTGTTTTTCACTCTGGCGTAGTTTTGCTTGAATACGCACCAACTCTGGTTGTACGTTTGATTGTTGAAAAGTCTGTGTAGAACGAGCAGTAGGATCCTTATTGGCCCAAGTAACTCGTGTCTGGACTGCAGCTTCCGAACTTTCATCATCCCCAGTTTTCGTTCTACCAATAGTCTGGCCCCTTTTCAATCTCGATGCAGGGGTCACTTTTGGAAGGTTGTACCTCTGACTCTGATCAATTGGGTCACTAAATTGTTCAAATCGGTCCCTGACAGTGTCCTGGCTTTCTCCTCCACTGGATACACGTTCCTTTGCAGCTGCTATTCCAACAACTTGCTGGCGGCTACTGTCAAAAGGAAGTTCTGACTCTGTGTCAGTAGCATCTGCATCCTCTTCAGGAAGCATGGAGTCTGTGTTAGCTGTTGTCTGGAATTGCATAGATGATGTATCCTCTGTCTCAGAGATCATGTGACTGTTTGGAGAGAAGCTACCCATGGCTTGTAGATGGCGTACTTGACGGCGTAGGTTTGTGAGAGTCTCATTCTTCTCCTGGACTTCTTTTGCAAGTCTAAAATTAAAAATAATTTTTTAAGAAAATGAAATACAGAATGATTGAAATTACACTGAATGTAAAGAAGTTTTAGGTAAGAATCAATTTCATACCTTTCAAGTTCATGTCTAGTCTCTTCTGCTGATTTTTTATTCTCTCCCAATATGTCTCTTAATTTTTTATTGATTTCTTTCCTCTGTTTGATTTCCATTTTCAATTGACGTATCTCACCATCCTTCCTCCTATATACAAAATAAAGGATAAGCAATAAGAAGGTGTATCAATCAAATATATGAAATGAATTTCATATTAATACAGACTGATCTTTGCAAGGCACTTGGAATATAACACACCATACAAATTACATAAAATTCTGATAATCAACATTAAAATATTAAAAGTCCAGTCTAACCTGTTTTCCAGAATGTCACTTGCCATCTGTCCTGATGAATCTCCTGACCTTTTTTTATGTTCTATAGAATGAGAAAAAAACAATTACGAAATTATTTGATGCATTTTTACATTGAACAATTGGATTTATCACCTTTTAGTCAAACGTACCTTCTAAAACTTTCTGTAAATCTTCTGCTACAATTTTGCTCTTCTTCATCTTCTGTCGTGTCTTCTCAACCTCACTAGGAGAATTCTCCTTCTCATCCTCCATCCTCCTAGAAATCTCTTCCATAGCAGACAAAGTATCATCAATCATTTCACGAAGGGTGGCACAGAGTTGTCGTGAATCTTCTAACTGCTGCTTAAGCAATGCAATCTCGGCCTCATTTTCTTTGATTAGTTGTTCATTGTGAGCTAGAAGACCAGGAGGCACTGGAATGTTGGAACGAACCTTCTCCATCAGATCATTATTGTGTTCTTGTAATGTCATGTTAACATTGTTTGCCTCCTCAACCTGTTCTCTTAGATTTTCAACCTCTTGCTGAAGTTTTTCAAAGGCTTGCTGATTCGCAACAAGTTCAAACCATGTACCACTACCATCACCGATGCTGTCTGTCCTACTTGGACTTGTAGAACGTGTTGGGCTTGATGTATTGCTACGACTGCGCAACCTGTTCTGCAGACTACGAAGAGCTCTGCGACTACGCTGCAGATGAAGCTTAAGTGTGTCAACTTGACTTTTGAGTTCCCCAATATCATTAGTCTGACCAAACTCACTTAAAGGAATATCAGCCATGAGACTATATTCAGGAGATGGGCTGGCAGAACCAGATCGATCATCTGGCGATAACAAACTGGCACTGGATAATTTATGACCCATTTGGTCAAAGTGTGCTCTCAATAAGTTGGAGTCACTATGATATCTCTTAGGTGTTCTTGGTGGTTGGAGACCAGCATTTTGCATTTCAGTACGGTAACGTTTGATGCGGTCTGATTGCTGTCTGACAGTACCCTCTGTGGCTTGTAATTTTGAGTTCAGTTGTTTGTACCGTTTTTTCAAGTCATGCAGATCATTGTGAGCTTGCTCCAACTGCTTAGTGAGAGCTCCATAAGCCGTGTCATCCAAGGTTTTTACTCTTTTGCCAACTCGAGTCTTTAGTGGTGAATCTGTTGATAATTCTTGCTGAGCTTCATCTAAAGTGTCTTTGAGTCTTTCAATTTCTTTTGCCATTTCAACAATGAGCTCTGGATTAAAGCTTGGTTGATCTCCTTCACTCAAACTATTAAGATCAATATGTCTCTTCAGAAGTTCATTAAGATTCTCAGCATTTCTCAATTGTTTCTGCAACCTTTCTATTTCAGCATGAGCACTAGGTGGGGGCCTAGAATTTTCAACTTCTTCCAATTCTTTCTCCAATGCCTGAAACTGTGATTTCATTTTTTGTAGTTCATTGTTATAACTAACAAGCTGTGCCTTTAACTGATCATTTTCAGCTTCCATTTGTCCTAATCGGTTCTTATCTTGAGATCTCTTTTTCAAAGCCTGCTGAAGGGCTTTATTCTGGCTTTCTCTTTCCTGAATAACTTCTTTGGCTTGACCCAGTTGTTGCTTCAAAATTGGCACAAGGCTTGCGGATTCCATATTTTCAGTGGTGGTTTTTAGTTGCTTCTGCATTGCACTGCTAATTTTTTCTGCTTCCCTGAGCTGTGATTCTAGCCCTTCCATTTCATCTTGGAGATCCTTTTTCTGGTGTTGAGCCTTATGAAGCTGTGATGCCAACTGCGCATTTTCTCTCTGAAGAGTTGCCATGACATTTCTTCCTGGTTGTATAGGAGATTCTGGCCCAATTCCAAGGTGATGTCGCAGAGCTTGGTTCTGCTGCTCCTTTTCTTGTAAGAGTGTGTCTTTGTCTTGCAAAAGTGATTTAGCTTGGTCAAGCTGTTGCTTAAGAACTGGAATCACATGACTTTCTGTTTCATCTACACCATCACCTCTACCGGGAGTAGAAGCAAGCTGTTGTTCTAAAACCTTGACCTGTTGCTCTAATTCTCTGTTCTTCTCTTTAAGTTCCTCGATTTCTTTCTTAGCTTGTTGAGCTGTCCCTGGCAATGTTTCTTCTTGTCCTGGTATACTCCTAAGATCATCATCCAAACTTCTCCTGTTTGCCTCTAGAAGCTGCAACTGGAGTCTCATCACCTCATCTTTCAGTTCTTTTGGTGACATAACATCGACATTATGGGCACTAATGATTTCCTCATCTGGTGGAGGTCTTGAGAAAGGTTGAGGTTGTGCATTACTGACTCTGACAACTTCAGAGTCAGCATCACTGCCAACACCACCTCCCCTCTGCTGCAGTTCATTTACACGAGACTGAAGATCTGCATTCCATCGCTGACTTTCTTCCAATCTATCTCTCAGTGCCTGCACTTCATTATCATTATCTATAATTAGATAAGATTAGAAAAAGAAATATACAATTAAAAAAAAAAACATATCTTATCTTATAAAATAATTTAAAAATTTTCATAAAAAAACCCACAAGTAACAGGCCCATTACAGAGTTAAAATAAATGTTGTGATGACTTGCATATTAAGGCAATATATACTGTACATAATCAGTAATTTCATAATGATTCGTGAGGGATAACTCCACACCTACACTTAAAGAACAGACAAATTATGGTTATATATACACTTTGACAACTAAGTTTCATTATGTTTTTGAAGTGGAGATGTGAACAAAGTCATATATTTGCAAGGATTTGAAACCAGAATTCTGGAATTGGTAGATGAGAACATTAACTGCCACAGTTTAAGAAAAGAAACTCACTAGTACTTTCACTTTCCAAATCACTTAAAGTCTGTGAGCTAATTTGCCTCTCTAAGTTCTCTCGCATTCGGTTGTTCCGCTTGAGCGCCTGCTCAAGTTGTTTTCTGAGTGACTGCACAGCAGCTAATTCAAACTCAAATGCATCATTATGTGTTGTGTTCTTGGAATCGCCGTTGTGTGTAATATTCACATATAACTGCCTCTCAGCCTGCAATGCTTTATTCAAATTCTCCATCTCTCGTACCTGGGCTGCTAATGCTTGGTAAAGCTACAATAAGAAAAACGAGTAAATTACACATAAATAAAATATTATTGATGTGTAAACTTGATTAAATTATTATTTCTGTATAATTATGGTTATTGGTAATTCTTACCTGATCGTTTGGCTCACTTCCTACGACAATAGTATCATGTGAGGAAGTCATATGCTTAGGTTGTTGAAGACGGAGCTCCTATGAAGATATAAATACACAAGAAAAAAGGAGTTAGTTGATTAACCAATAATTTGTTGAAGCACAAATAAACTTCAGAAAAAACAAAATCCTGTGAAAAAATATGAGTTGAAATATGAGGTTAAGAATTGTAGGGTCATTCTGCTCTGCCTCCCCACCTACAACTGCTGCCCTGCGCCCCACCTACAACTGCTGCCCTGCTCTTCCCCCACCTACAACTGCTGCCCTGCCCCCACTCTACATCTGTAGTTTAAGATTACAGTATATGCCTACAATGTAACTATCAACAACCCATTTATATAAATATCAACCACAACTCTTGACTTAAATTATAATATTACCTGAATAATGTTGTCCTTGACCTTCCCAGCATGCACCAGGGCGTCAATATTGTCTTGCTTTGCTTCAAGCTCACTTTCAAGCTCAATAACTTTACGACGTAATTTAGCCTTTAAATAAGTAACAAGATACCGTAATTAAACTGTTTCTTATTTCCTATTCATTTTTGTATAAATGGGTGGTGGAACAAAATTATTGTTTCAAATGTCAATAACAGACAACTGGTTTTACTCACAGTTTCTAGTTTAGCTTGCCTGTCATCCTTTTGGTTCTGCTGAAGAGCATTAATTGTTTCTCTAAAACATAAGAGAAATGGAGACAATAAACAAACAGATGAATAACAATAACAGTATGTTATACTTATATATCATAAAGACATAGAAGTTAATGAATCTAGGTAAGACATATTTATTTATATGAAAACTACACAAATCAATGATGATGTTGGTTCATCCTGGTAAGTATTCACGCAATAGACAATAGAATACAACTGTAAACTTGAAACGTCTTATAAAGAAAGTTTGCACTACTTACCTTGCCTTGAGTAGCAAGTCATTCTTGGTATCCAGGTCATTCTCTAAGGCCTGCAAGTGATCTTTACTAACAGAGTTGGCTCTTAGCTCATTCAAGGCAGCTTGAACAGAAAATATTAGTAATGAATACTATATATGAATTCTTTAGGGTACAGAGATGTTAGGCACTCAACTTTATTTTATGTAATAATAGATATTCATGAATATACTTCAATTAGAAATAATATAATTTTTTGAAAATACTTATGGAGATGATCACAAGAATTTGTTACTTTAATCCATAAAAACAAACTAAAACAAAAGGTTTTATACCATCTCTTGCCTTGATCTCGCGTCTCAGTCGACCAATCTCATTCTTCATTGCATTCAAGTCTGGACCCATAACAGGGGGAGGTGTAGACCTTTGCATATCTTGGAAGAGCCTGTCTTTCTCTTGACCACTCTTTACCAGTTTTTCAATGGTTTTATCCTTCTCCGCCATAGCAGCACGCATCTTGCCAAGTAAAATGCTCTGATCTTGCTGGGACCGTGTCAAGGTATCTTCAACAGACTATAAAAATGAAGATGTTATACATATTTCTATTACTGTTGATCACTATACCTATGCCAATTATGCTTATGAATTTTCAATGTTTTTTTACCTGGATATCCATATCTTTATTAGCAATTTCCCGCTGCAAAGCTTTGATAATTTCATTTTTATCCGCAATTAGTTTATTGTGGCGGTCATGCAGTGCCTTGACTTGCTTGTCTTTGTCCTGTAGGCTGGCCAGCAGGTCTTGGGTTGCTTTATCATTTGCTTCAGCAGCTTCTGCTCTTTCAGACATCATTTCCTACAAAAAATAAATAAATACAGTGGCTATACATATTTCTAATAATAAATAAACACACAGTCAAATTTATGCACAAGATTTTAGCTGATTTGAAGACTTTTGTTATTGAAAAAAGGCAATCTGGTTTTGTCAGCCACATATTAGGCACATATATATCACTTAATTTTACATAATGTAAAAACATTTCTTTATTAACTTATTCATTCAGTTAATAATTAATTCATTAATTTATGTATTTAATTATTACAGTCGTTAATTTATTCATTTAAAATGCCTACCTCCATCATCTTGTCTTTATTTCTAAGCCTCTGACTTAGCTGTCTTATGATGGCATTGCTTTCTTCTTCTCTTGGAGATCCGCTCCCTAAACTGCTTATTTCTTCTGATAGTCTGTCTTTATCAGCTAGAGCATGTTGTAGTTTACGTATGATGCTGTCTTTTTCGGATATCGCTCGCTGGTGGCCTTCTTCAGCATTCTGAAACACAATTTTTTTTTTAATCAATCAATCTAAAGTTTACTCACCTATTAATGAACCTTACCATTATTCATATAATTGCATACACCCATAACACTTTTCAAGCAAAATTTAAATATTTATGTAATAAAATAGCTATCAATTGACTTACAGATAGTTTATATCTGATGTTAAACTGAACACTTTAGAATTATAATTTACTTTTTCAGGAATTTTTCTTGATTGCTTTAGAAGCAGTACATCTTTACTCAGAATTACTCAAATTTAAGTAATGAAAAACAATTAGGATAATGAATAATGATACTGCATTTTAGAAAAAGAAGGCAGAAGATGATGTAGTCTTAGTACTGTGGAATTGGATAGACTTTAGTATCTACACTTTAAAAAGTTTAAGAACTTACATTCATAGAATCATTCTTTGCTTTCAATGAGTTAGCAAGTTGTCGACTCTTAGCTTCCTTCTCTTTCAACTCACTTTCCAGCCCCTAAGAAAAATAAATGTAAACTTCCCAGAATAAATGAATTATAATTTTCAATAAAATGAAAAAATATACAAAATCTAACAATCAATTATTAATACGAGCATATTAAACAAAACTGAAGACAACAACTTACGTTAATTCTATCATTATCATGGAGAAGGTCATTATTTAACCGTTCCATCTCTTTATCTCGCTCCCTCAGTGCTTGCCTTATTTGGCGAATCTCATCTTCTTTAGCTTGTAATGCTATGAACTTTTCCTCCAATGCATCCTAAAAAAAAGAAGAGGACTCATCATTCAAATAATAAGTATCACAATAATCATAATTATAATCATAAGAATAATATTAATATTACTAAAACTAATAACATTACAATTCAAAAACACAATATACAGATATTAGGTATTAAACAATTATAAACATTGGTATCAAATTATACAATTAGATCTTCTGACTACCTCTAATTCTTTGTCTCTTTGTTGTAAGATTTCCTTCAACCTATCCACAGTTTTATCTTTGCTTTCCTTTGCATCCTGAAAAAGACAAAATGCTTTATCATCATAATGGTAAACATGTAATTTCAACAAGTATATATATGGAGCTACAATAAGTTTGAACCTTTTCACCCCCTATCATACACAAAACCTACACTCAGTACTTTACTATCGTTTTATCTCTGAATATTTAAAAAATTATATATACTTTAAAATATATAAATAACACGTTTAGTATTATGCCTTCAAATTGTAACTTCTAATTTAACATATAGTGAAACATTAAAATGATGCATATACATTCCTTACATATATATAAATATACATACACAGTACATAGATATAAACAAACATACAAACATGCTTTGATATACAATAATATATAATTTCTATTGGTAAACTGATGCACATCCATTAAGTTTATCTATTTCATGCCTCCTACATGATAATGTATAAAATATCATAATTACACCAAGTTTATAAAATAAATGTTTTATGGCCACATTTACTGTGATTTTGGGGATTCTGTGCATAATCAAGACAAGTTTAATTTTTATACTAGAAACTGTTAGAATGCAAACCAAACATCTAAAATAAATTAAAAGCTAAAAAAAAAAATTTAAATAGAAATATTAGGATTGATAAAGTTTGTTTTGTGATCATAATCAAAAATAGTTATTTATTTTGTGCAATGGATATAAAAACTAATTTCAGCCAAGAAAAAAAAAATCATGGTGCTCAATTTATTAGCAGTAGTAATTTTTATTAAGCTTTCATTAATCTTATTATTGAAGAGTTTAGTCATTTTTCAGTGCAGTCCCAGTAATTATAAACCATTTTCCAATTATCTGATCATTTCCCATTGATCCCAACCCATTCTAAATGGCATTCCCAATTAATCTCAATAATCCCATACTCTTTCTTAATCCCTGTTACTATCCCTAGCTACTACTGAAGGCACTTACTGCAGGGGATGTCTTTGCAGACTTGGCAAAGTCCACATACTCCTAAAAACAGAAACACATTGGTAGGAATCATGTTAGTTGAGCTATAACACTAAGCGTCACAATCACATCACATTCAGCACTACGACCTCACTGCTATACAAAGGTTAAAGTTTAAAATCATGGTCTTATATCAAGATTTCATCTTATTATCAGAGAATTAGATCTCAATTTTAAAATCTTTATAATTATATAAGTATGCTAGTAATTATTATTATTATGAATACAAACTATGCAATGTTCTATAATCTAAGTCTTACTTAAGACCATGCGAAAATAAATTGTGGAAATGGTAGGACTTAAACCCATACCCATGGGATACAATTTTGGTATCCATTATCTTGGTCAAAAATTGTCAATTTAATGATTTAAAATGATATTTATTGTGAATTATCAATATATTTAGTGGGAGTTCAACCATCTTGAATGACACTATTCATTTTCAAACTTTTTTTTAAAATATGACAATAATGAGCAAATGCTAAGAAACTTTCCCTTATAAGTTATGTTTAACATTTTGGTTGTTTTGTTTTGTATAAGAACTGTGCTTTCGTTTTTTTTAATTTGATTCCCAAATGAAATAAATACAACAAAATGTTAATATATAATATTAATGATTATAAGCAACAAAAAAATATATCTATGATAAATGACGTAATAAAATAAAACATTAGAAATAGGAAAATGCAAACATTAAATACCATAAATAAATATTAAATAAAATAATGATGTTAGAAAGAAATATTACAAATATTAAATTCCCAAGATGGTGAAAATAATCAATATATCAGAGTTATTTTCAGAATACTGCAGTGCTACTTAGGCTAGATGCCTAGAGTATGTGCATTGGCTGCACACGCAAGCACCACCATGCCAACAAACTGGCTGGAGGGGTGTCAGGTTACATCAGAATTTTGCGTAATACAAATGTTATCACTAAATTTGTTGCAAATAAAAGGCCAATGAAATCTTTCTTGTTAAGTTTTTAATAATTATCTGTCTTATAAACTGTAATGACATCACTTAAAAATTTGAATAGCCATTTGCATCATGAATTAGTGAAGCTTCTATTTTAAATCATTTAATACATTGGAGCACTTAAGTATTTTAAAAATAACATTGCAATATTATATACATATACTGGTTATGTATTTCATCTCCATGGCAATGCACACCCATTATTTTCCAATGATTAAAAGATTCATGAATTTTCATGATTAATTATTCAGACCCATAACCAACCTTGATAACCTGGTCTTTCTTCTGCAGAGCATCTGTCAGTCTCTGGTTGGCACGCTCTTTATTCTGGATCTGTTGTTGGGCATCATCCAGCAGGTCTTGGTAGTGCTGTTCCATTGAACCAACCCTTCCAGACATTTGGTCTCTGGCATCTTGAAGTTGGTCTTTCAAATCCTAAAATAAAAATAATAAAATGATATTATTGACCGTAGCCATCAAAATGTTGGCCATCAATACTAAGTTCCAAACAGAAACTAATGAATATGCAAATCTTGATTTAGAAATGTAACATTAAATACCTGGATTGCTTTGTCTTTATTGGCTAGCAGTTTCTCCATCTGTGAATCTCCACTTCCTTGTTCTTCTCGCAGACTAGCGATTTCCTCTTGTCGCCTGACCAAGGCTTTCTGCAGTCTGTCGTTTTCAAGATCCTTCGCTCGTAGACTGCCACGCATTTCAGCTACCTTGGTTTCTAGATCTGAGATGGTACTTTGATTGTTTTCCAAACCCTAAGTACAGGCATGACATCTTTATTAATTAATGAGTGTAATATGTTCAGCTACTGTAAGTGCAATTAGTAATTTGCATTATTACATTCACAACAACTGTGTTTCTAGTACGACCTACTATTTATTCCTTGTATTTACCTGGGTTAACAACAATGTCCAACTAATTTTCCATTAGCCTACTGTACCTACCTCATGTTTACTTCTCTCTGCTTTGTGTAATTTTTCTCTTGCTTTTGCTAAGGCATCTTCTTGATCTTCAATTTGATCACAGAGGTGTTTAATCTGTAAAAAAACGAATATTCTTCATTTATTTTCAAGTGAAACCACCACATTAAAATAAAGCAAAAACAAAACAGAAATGGTTTCACTAAGTATTTACATTAAAATGAAAAATAAATAATAATCAAAAGTCACATTAGAATGGCATAAAAGCAATATTGAAAGAAGTGGTGGCCACTGGTGAGGGGACAGTGAGCTGGACCCCCATCAGGGAAAGATGGTCTTCCCATTGGGGAGCTTAAGACAAACTGTTGGGGGAGAATGAATGCTTTACAGATTATGATACTCCAAAACTGATCGTGTCTTTCATATTCTTAAATTATTTTGGCCCCCCTCCCCACACCCACATCGGGTAAATCCTGGCGCCACCGCTGATCGAAGTTCTAACAAACTCAGACAAGGCCTGTATCTCACTCAAGACTAAAAATCACACTATATTTGTTGTATTTCAACATAAAAATTTTAATTAAAAACCTCTTCATCCTTGTTTTGAACAGCTTCAGTCAAGCCTTGGATCGCACGGTCTCGTTTGTTAACATTGCTCTCCTGCTGTTGAAGCTGACGTTCATTCTCCCTCAGCTTATTCATTCCATCCTGTGAACAGTACATCAAATGAAAAAATTACTAATTACCATTAAAATATTATGGAGCTAAAATTACACAAGTTTCGTCGGCAGTTTATGCTGCGCTGGCTTCATTAAAATAAAGCCAGCATAGACTGTTAGCAAAAGCTTCTGTAATAAATTATTTAAGTTACCAATAAGTGCTACCTGTTTTCTATATAACTAGAATAGCTTCAACCTATGTTATTTTAGACTAAATAAGCTGCATCGAATTTAAAAAATATATAATATTTTCAATTTAAACTAGCTGATATAAATATATTTAACGAATGGTTCACCTTGACTTCTTGCTGAGCTTTCTTCAATTTATTCTGCATATCCTGAAAAAAATTTAAGGTACCAGTTAACTCATCTGTGGAAAATATGACTCAGTGGTAAAGCTATGGGAGTCCAATTTTCAAAGACAGTAGGGTTTGAGTTTGAAGTAGACATCTTTTTTGTGTCTTTCAGCAAGTCTATCTCTAAACAAGAGTAAAGTGGGTGCATTGCAAATTTAAGGGTCAAAAAGAAATATTTCCCCTTAATAGGGGTGTCCTGAAAGAGGGATTCCAGTGTACATAAAATCAAACATTACTGATAAGAATAAAAATAATATTAAACATCACACCTTGATGGCTTTGTCCTTATCCTTCAATTTATCTTGCATAGACTCTGTAGCTGCTTCTAAGTCCATAAGACGCTTCTCTTGTTCAAGGTACAGTTCCTAAAAAAATAAATTTGAAATTCAAAACACATACAGGGTATTATACCATTTTTGTAAACCAAAAATGTAGGTGTGTCCACTCTCCAAACACATACCTTGTAATGGATTTTTGTGACATCTTTGTCAGATTTCTCCCTTTCCATATCATCCTTTAGGGCCTGTAAACAAAGACAATATAGAATTGATAAACTATCAAATTTATCAGTTCAGCTACTTTAAGATACAAAAAGGAATAATGAAACAAAAGTTAGTATAGACTAATGCAAAATCTGTAAAGGTTAATCCATTGATAAAATTAAACATATTTATTTCTATTTTAACTTTATTCAGTTTAACAAAAACATCAATAAAAACAACCACTAAAATATCATTGTAAGGTACAAGTATTTGAGAATGACGCTGACCCAAGTATGGCTCATGTTATTATTTTTTCTGGTTCTTAAACTTTCATTGTTCTTTTGTCTGTCATATTTTTTACTTCTTGTGGAGGTGCGCCATGAGCGTTTTCTTTAAACGGATCCCGGCGCTTTAAAAGTCTTCATTATTATTATTATATTTTACCTGAATTTCTTCCTCTCTTTCAACGCATTGTTGCCGTAACTCTCTTAGTTCATCTTCTTTCGGTTTCAGTTCTGCGTGTGCCTTTGCTTTCTCTTTGTCCATTTGGTCAATGACATCATCTTTGCTTTTCAATGCCTGGTTTAACTGGTTGATTATTCTGCAAGAGGGATTTAACTAAATATATTGTATTTCTTTGCTATTTCTATTAAATGATGGTGAAGAGGTTGTTGATAGTGAAGATGGTTACGATGACGATGATTATAAGATAATGATGATTAGGGTAAAGGTGGTTATGGTGAAGATGATAATGATGATAATGATTATGATAATGTTAATGGTGATAATGTGTTGATGTGCATGATGGTGACAGCCATCATGTATACTCTACAATGACAATGATGACATCATGATGATACTGATGTTTTTTTCGATGTGTTTCAATAGCTGTTTTGTATCAGGAACCTCAAGAATCAACAGTAATAATGTTTTTCCCAACCTGATGTATTCTCATATCGTATATGTACTCAGTACGTCCCCCAAATACTTGTGAAAAATTCTTGCAAATGATTTGGTGGGATAATGACATTCTACCTGTCTTTTTCAGCTAATGATTCTTTATTATTATCCAAAGCAGCTTGTGTTTGAAGGCTCTTATCTTGGAGGTTGCCTGACAACCTTTGCTGCAGCAATTCAGCTTCCTCCAGCTTCTCCTGGAGTTGTTCATTGGCTGATTTCAAAGCTCCAGCTTCATCCTTCACTTTTCTCAATTCTTCTTGCAATTGATTACCATTCATCTGGGCTTTTTGGTTCTTCTCTTTTGTGAGCTTTTCGACAATAGAATCCTTTTCATGTGCTAAGCTTTCAACAGCATTTCTGAAAAATTATCACATATCATCATTATCATAATCATCTTTATATACAGTATCATGTATATATTGAGTGGCCGAGCGGTAAGGCGGGGGCGCCGCTAACTACAGTCTTAACATCATCACTGGTTCAAGCGAAACTTCTCAGATAAGGATTTAATTGTCCCATTGCATCTTTTGGAAGAGTAGGGGTTATCCTGATGCTATGGTTAATCTTAGCCCTTGTCACTGGGGAATGATGTGAATATGTAGCTACTATAAGCGGCTCTCTAAGGGCGCTATAAAGTCACAGACCATACCCATATGCAATTCAGCACAATGACGCTGTGACCTATTCTCCTACTTTTACCATTACTTAATTTCTTTATAAATAATTTTTAAATCAATAAAACACTTAAAAACTAGTTTGTCACAAGTACTTACGAGGCTTTTATTAATAGCTGTTGTTTCTCTCTTAAATCATTTTTCAAACTCTCTACTTCAACTCTCAATTCAATATTCTGAAATGTAACAATCATTAACATAATGAGTAATTGATGTTTACATATCCATAAATTATTAGACTCAAAAAAGAGTTACAATAACATACATTTGATTGATGGTATAAAATACTGTTACACAACAGTCAGTGTAACACTTGTTTTACATTCTCAAATTATATGTTAATTATTTTCTAGCAAATGTTCATTTTAATATTTCATTAAATGTCTACTAACAATATTTTTATAATTGTAAACTAAGAATAAATAATTTCCTCAATGTAATTTCCGTTTGAACAGAACATACACATTTTGATTTTAATTTATCACATTTATCAGTAACATAACTTACACTGCCATTGTTTTTTTTTTTACTCACTGTATAATTTCTAGAACATCATGTTTGCTACTATCGATTAATTATTAACTCAAATATTTCTATAAATTGTGTAAGAAATGAGATTTCTGGTGAGAGTTTATCATATAAAACACAACCAATACATTAAAAGTACATACATTACAATATTTAAATTAAATTTATTTATCACTCAACTGTTTTTGCATCATCATTAAAATTTTGTTGAAGTCGTTCTTCCATGAAATAGATCCTAAGTTTAAGACTGAAATTCTCTTTCTTTAGCTCTGAAATTTGCTGTGTAAAAGAAACAAAAATAGAAAAGAAATATTCAATTAATTCATCAATTCATCAATCAATCAATCAATCAATCAATCAAAAAAGCAATAATTTCTTCTGTCCTTTTGGAAATTCATTTTGGTTCTACTCTTAAATAGAATCAGGAATAAAATCTCACAACTGGTATAAATTATGATTTGAAGTCTCTGATGTAACAGTTTATACTCTAGTTATAGGATAATATAAAAAAAAAATCAACCATAAACAAACATGCAAACTCCTCTCCCTGGGGCACCAATTTACAGTTATTCAACATCTCCCAGTTCATTACAAATCATCACATCCTACTAAATACTGTACCTATTCTTAATCTTAGTTTTAGAGCAACAAATGTATGCGCTTTGCTCAAGGACACAAGCATCTGACTCAAACTCATGACCTACCGGCTCAAAGTCTCAGGTCTTTCCACTGTTCAACACATCGTACAAACAACAAAATAGTCTTCAAAATTGCAATAAAAAATTAATAATTTTTAAGTAATAATTTTATTCAATTAATTTTTAGTTATATTTGGTAGAATCCTCACCTGTTCATAGTCCTTCATGGTGTGTGTTCTAACAGGTGATAAGCGACCACTACCTATCTTTTGGAGGGCTACAGAACAAAACAGAAAAATTAAATACAATATACTACAGTACATGCCAAAATATCATTAGTACGCTGGCATCAACAATGTTAATGTACAAAGGCTCTTGACGCAAGATAGGGAATGGACTAAAGCATTGGTAAGATATAAACAAAAATACAACAAATTCTTGTAAGCAAAGGTTTAATGTGTTTGCGAACAGAGCCCATAGCAAAGAAAAAAAACAACAATTTTTCTGCTGGAAATATGTAAAGCCCTGTCCAAACTATCAAATTTTGTTTGAGAAAAACATGTGACATGCCTAAATATGGTCATGAAGACATCACATCATGACCATATATAGGCACATCATGACTATATATGGCCATACAACAGTTTTTTTATCAAAGAAAATTTAATAATGTAAACAGAGCTTTAGGAAGTATAAGCAAAGTCAAGGAAGCACCAAAGGAAATAGGAATGATTCAATTTAATCTTTGCACCATCAAAGATCATATCTTACACATGGCAAAGACATACTGTACAGAATAATAGCATCTCTCACAGCCAAAAATTATTGCACAGCGTACAATTTGAAGTGGTAATGATTCACCATTGTTTGTTAAATGTCCCATTATTTTCAGCCATGGCCTTAACTTTATAATCTGTCCTCTTTAGTAAAAAACACCATGAATAATGTTCACCTTAATCAATTAATTTTCATTAAATCTCTCAACGCTGTTAAACTTTTTAGAATAATATTATTAAACAATCTACAGTAAGTTGAGTTTAGTGGCCATCAAGGCCTTCTACTACCATGGGTGGTTTCATGCCTCAAAATGCTTAGTGGGTCATACTGTAAGCCTACCAGTATCTTAAACGTTGCCTAGTATTCAGTTTTAAACATCTACGAATGATTACAGCATTTAAAATAGATAAAAAGTAACAAAATAATCATAGACGATTACCTGGAACACCGTTGGATTCTGGGAAATGTTCACCAAAGTTTGACATGTTGATGTCAGGACCTGCTGTTACATCTGGTAATCTTGACATGTTGGTACTGAAAAGAGAAAAACATTAAAATGAATTAATTTTTTGATAATATAAACTCACATGTATGCTAAGAAAACATTATAGTAAAAATGTACTATAGAAATCTATAAATATTTTGTTATAATATTATAACATCCATCAACATTGGAATAAAGCTGCATTACATTGTGACTTTAGTGAATAAGACAGAGTATTTTCTTGAACTATCTCCATGTTAATATTTCTGTACACCCGATAAAATATATGCTTAACATTGTGCGATTGTTATCATAATGGCATAGTCCAATCTACAGATACTTACGGTGCATCTTTCAACTAGAGCTAATCATGTCATAATGCTGTATACCAACATAAACATTTGGATCATCCAATGAAATTGGCAATGAGTACATTATCAAACCTCATAGCAATACAGTAAAATAACAATCATCCACCATCATAATATGCATCCAATACTGTATTTTAAGCAGTAGAGTATCTACGTTTTGATATAAATCTCTATTTCATACCTTGCTTAATGACAGTCAAAATATATCTTTATCCAATTTTATTCTGCTCCACAAAATACTGAATTTTTCTGAATTCAAAAAGTTGAATACTGAGTATATTAGATTCTGTATTTCCATATAAACCACAGACTTGTGTGTTCGTAGGATATCAAAGAGGCAAACATGCTGACGTTAAAAAGATAAACATGCACAAATAGACACTGCGCAGTAATGAGCTTTTACTGACCAACGCAAGCTCAGGTTAGTGACAAATTCAACGGTTCAGCATGTTTACACAGGATGTGGGCATCACTACAGCTATGGTATTCATGCACAGAATTGTGAACCCACACACTCACTTAAAATTTTAATTAATAAGCTGGATTCTACATCCCAATTCTTCCTTACTGATTGATTTGTTTCTCATTAGCAGGCTGTGTCGTCATTTTCGGTGCATGACTGGAGTAGCGGTATATATTACTCAGGCATTGATTGGTCTGAATGACAAAATTAAGGGCAGTGAAGGGAGTTGAAGTCTATCAACAAAGGATGATAGAGGATGAGTCACATTAAGGAGGGTTTTCTACCATATGAGTGTCGGAGGATGAATATCTAATACTTAGACCACACCCATATTTAGAATCTACAATCTATCATACTGTATTTATCAACCAACCTTTTACTGTGCATTATTATGCGAGCAGCAATTCTATTATCACACTGTATAAGTAGTAGAGCTTAAGGTTAATGCCTGAGTTATAAATAATTCTAATGCCAGAGTATCTACAATATACTGTACATGGTGACATAAAACGAGTAGGTTGAATGAATCCCTGTTTCTCCAAAATGTTCTACACATAACCCTGTTTTTCCTCTGTATCACTGCAGCCTTCAAATCTAATCCATTTTAGGTGGATTGGGCATTATATCTTCATTCTAGTTTATATTTGCACCACTCACTTAATCTTCTTGCAATTGTTTAAAAAATAGATTATTCAATATATTTTTCTTCAACAGAAAACTGTGTAGAATCTTCAATGGTTTTTGTATTTATTTCTAATTGAAGTCAACACAAATCTATGCTTTTATTTACCAATTTCCACCCAAACCAATGGCTGACAAAATGTCAAGTACTAAAAGGTGGTTAAGGAGATTAAGTACCAGTACTGTACTGTTGTATTTAAATACCAACACTGATGAGATATTATTCAGTTATTAGCATACCAATTTTGTAATTTGAATTGCAATAAATTCTATCATACAGTAGTTGCATTTCCACAGCACAGTAGTCTACTGTACGTAATTCTGGCTTCATTACTTTAAATGTTAAATGTGTTACAGGTACTGTTTTATAGTACAGAGAACAGGAATTGTATTTAATAATACTAATAATTAACTTGATTTTCATGATAATGAAACGACGGCAGCGGCAATGACAAAGACGACAACAACAGCGATGAAAATGAAAATGATAATTATGACAATAATGCTATAAAAGCCTCTCATAGAAAGTTCAATTAGTAACTTAAAATGTCTTTTGCATCAAGAAAATAAAGGCCATTCATCTGTTTATAGCAGACTGGTTTGAAGCCAACAACATGCACTTTCTTACAGTCAATATTTATGGCAACAATGACAATGAATATTCAGAATATTCATTGTAATTGTTGCTATAAACTTTGACTATAAGAAAGTGTCTCATTTTATTACTTACTTAAAATATTCAGGATATATTGCAGAATTTTTAATCAACATTAAAGGGGTTTTGAGATAGTTTGATGCTGTTTAATATTACTCAAGTGTTCTTACAGTGTGTGTCAGCTCTGTTTAAGCAATTGTGGATCAGCATAGTTTAAACTGGATTAGGAATGCATTATGATAAGCCTCCTATAAATGCAGACTACTGTAAGATCGTACAGTATGTTATTCTACTTTCATATACATTATACTATATAATAAAGTGTGCTACATACATGTACTATATTATAGTATCACAATACCGTACCTGGAATTTACATATTAATTTTGGGTTTTTTCTCTGTCCATAGGCCAACAGTACATTGTTCAACTTACAGTCATTCTCAGTACTCTAGGCCTACTGTACATCTCATGTTATATTTCACAAATTAAAAACACATTAAACATTAAATGTCATTGCTGTCTGGAATGGTACAGTACTTGCTTTCCAATATGCTAGTCTACTTCAGACATTAATCACCAAGAGGCTAAATACATGATACATTTAATTCTCTTATCTTTATATGTTTTAGCAATATGGTTGGAAAATGCCAATGACGGGTGTTACTAAGCCTGACAAAAAACAACACTCAGTTGGCTGAACAGGATTGCCATGAGAGTAAACTGAATCACTGTCGAGTGGCTCACAAATGCCAATGAGAACATAAATTAAATTAATATAAAATATTCAAGTAAAATAGGCCTATCAATAAATTTATATTTAAAATTATGAATGTACAAATTCATCAATGAAAACAATCAGTAGTTTAAAAGATAAAAGATAAAAACATTAAAAATACAATAAAAATTGAAATAGAAGAATTGGAGCTACAAACAAATAATGTTAAAATGTTCAATTTACAACGGTAAAAACAAATTACATTCATCTACACAAATATGTTATTGTTGATTTGTTATAAATTTATTGCACCTCAATAGAATTATTTATCATATAAAATGTTTTTCACAGAATCTCTTTAAAATTGAATGCACGTCATATAGTCAAAATTTATTATACAATACAATGTTACGCTGCTAAAAAAACACTATTAGTATTATGCTGCAAATGATTCTTTCAACATACTATACTTTTATGCCTCTGATACATTTTATCTAGTTTTGTACAAAGTTTTGTCTAATTGATTATCAATGAAATTTCATTGTCAAAAGAAATTAAAAACAAATTAAATATATATTGTTAGACACACTGTCTGCATTGAGCCAATAAAGTAAAAGAATACTGACTACGTACTATTTGAATTGCTGTACAATTGAAAATCACACATTAGCTTTCGCTAAGGAAATATTCTCCTTACCAACTGTATTAAGTATATGTATGCATTATTTAGATCCTTTTGCATACTGAAGACGTTTAATTTGCTGATACTGCATAAAGATTTTCATGTTGAAAGGTGACAGGTATAAATCAGAAAAAAAAACTGACTTCTTATTAGAAATCACTAATTGCATATTATTTTAACCTAAATGAGCTATGTTAATTAAAGTTTTGATGTACTTATAGGTTTTATGACTGTACAATGCTATCTAAGTATCTAGTAGTATCACTTACATAAATTATTAATTAATCAAGGAAATTGATTTAAACTATAATTGAAGGTACAATGAGTATTTTTATACAGATAGGCCTACAGAGTATTGTAGGTCTACTCATCGACAAGATCCTACAAAACAGGAAATTTAATGTAGCTCTGTGAACTTTGAACTGGACATTGACAACCTTTTGATTTCAAAACATTGTGTCAAGTAGGATATACTGTACTGTAGCTAGTGGATCCTGATAGAAATACAAATACCAGTATTCAGTTCTTAGGATGGGAATGGTATACAGTCCTACTCAGGGCTGGATAGTGTTTGTCCATGCAACAGTTGGAGTCAATTTTACTGAAACCTAGAGACATTTTATGGGCGGATCCACAATTTTTTTACCCCTCCAGGACTGACTATACTATGTAGTTATAGCTACTGCATTTCACAATCACTAATATACATAAACTTAAGTATAAAATACAATATCAAACAAAAACAGGTATTTTAGTCAAGTACTATACTAATTTTTTCTCATTTCTAGACGCAAGATACTTACCAGTAAAACAGAAAAAAACAAGTATTTATTTACCAACATTAAATGACTGCTTTATCAAACATGTTGATTTTGCTGTCTGTACTCCCACAAACACTTATATGCTAGATTTGCTAATAAAGTTTCAATACAAAATCACTGTTGACAACAGCTGGCCTCTGTATTACAAATATGACCTTCCCTACATTACAGTACAGTACAAGCCAAGCATAGCATCAAAACATACTGTAATGTGTGAATAAGCAAAATACAGACCAGGACTCAAGTTTCACTCTCCACAAATTACCATAATGAAAACAACCATGAAATGACTAATTTTCCAATCAATTACAATTAAGCATCTTGAAAAGCTTATAATAATTTCTGTTAATTTTTAATTAGTTTTGGTTAATTATTGATGATTTGTTTACAATTTGAGTACACTTTATGCTTGATTGCTTGCTTACTCATCAGACTTGTCTTCCACGTGGATTCAGCTACATCATCCACTTGGAAAAGCCTGCCTGGATAAAAGGAATCCCCATGTAAAGAAGACAAGGGAATTCCTCACACATGATGCACATTGCAAATAAGAGTAATTCACCTAGAAACCTGTTAATTACCTAATTAATCATCAAATGGTAATGATCTATACACAGGTACAGAAACACAGTGCTTCAAGTGCTATGAGGAATTCATTGG